CCCACCCCTAATATACACTAATTACATGTATCTATCCAGTTCCCTTGTCTCCCTCCCACCTTGGGGTTTAAGCCGCCTTTTGTTTGGCCATTCAAGTAATAAGTGACAGTTCTCAGAATGCAATTTTAATTAAGATTCAATAGTCATTTCCCTGTCAGTAATCTTCCATGCTGATTACTTGAAATATATTTACCCAGCTCTATAATGTCACAGATTTGAATTCATTAGACTTTTGCTAATCTTCGACAAACTTTTTTTTTTTTTAATGTGGTTTGTTTAGGATAATTTACAAGGACACAACTGCTGGAATCAATGGGCTTTGTACCTCTGAGGCTCTGAGTTGTACATCCCAAAATGTCTGGGTCTTCCCAGCTTGCTGCCACTGCTGTCACTGCCACTCTCTACCAGAGGGCAGGTGACAGAGCCAAGGGTACAAAGGCCCAAAGAACGATGCAGGCAGATCCTCCATATTGCAGTTAATTGTGGTTCTTTCCAGGGGAGTTTGGGCAGGCCTCACTTATAGTAGTTGTAAAGGCGATAACAAGAGGGGGGACCCCCAAAATATCCAGAATTTATTTATTAAAAACTGCATATTGATTCTTACAGGTTTAAACTTCAGTCACCTTCAAAGTACTCCTTGTTTGATGCAATACACCTACCAAGATGCTTTTTCTGCTGCTCAAGACAGTTTTGAACTCATCAATTTTGATGCCTTTTAGTGCTTCTGCCATGTTTTGTTTTACGTCATCCACATTAGCAAAACATTACCCTTTGAGGGTTTTTTCATCCAGGAAAACAGCAAAAAGAGATGCTCAGGGTGAGATCAGGCAAATAGGGAGAGTGAAGCACCAGGGTCATGCCATTTTTTTTTTTATTATGAAGTTGTGGGGTACAGTTAAGGGTTAGGTATACAATTGCGTTTCATTCAGGCACCCTGTTGATATGGGGTGTTTCCCCGTTCCCAGACAGATATTTGCTACTGTTAATCCCATCTCCCTCCCCCCACCATAGTTTCCCAGTACGGTCAGTCATTTTCGTACAGTATTGCATTGGATGTTTAAGGTCCATTATATGAGTGAGAACATGTGATATTCGGATCTTTGTTTCTGTGAGAGGTCACTCATATTATAGACTCTAGTTCCATCCAGGTTGCTGCGAAATTCATGATTTTGTTCTTTTTTATGGCTGCGTAGTATTCCATCGTGAATATATACCACATTTTTAAAATCCAGTCCTCTTTTGACGGGTAGCATGGCTGTTTCCAGGTTCTTGCTATTGTGAACAA